TACCGTATATTTTTCTTAAATACAAATATATGTTTTCGGATATAATATTTCTGTACTTATGAGCCAAGCTTTATTTACTTTGTATGCGCTTATATTCTAACATTGAAAATACAATACAAATATGGCCACAATATTAATTATTAAATTGTTAATTTGAAATCATGAAATTTTTTGACATTTTCCATATACTAGGCTAGACGTTACAAACATTGGTTAAAAGTATATCAAAATTAATTAATTTTTTTTTAATATAAATTAAATAAAACTAAAAAAAAAATTAAGCAAAACTGTTCAGTTACTTTCCTTTTTCAAAACATATTCTCATACAAAAACTTGTACCATCCCTACCTCAAAAAAGAGTAGTTAAAATCTTAGCCTGATTGTTAAGTTTGTAAAATAATCAGGACCACGACAAAACCAAAGGTAGAAACAAGCTATAAACAATAGAAACAAGGTGTAAACATTTTATTCAGCCCTAAAGTCTACGGACGTTGCCAGGTCTAAGTGAGTAGTAACAAACACTAGTTAACACGGTAACACTGCTTTAAAGGTGTTAACACGGGTTGCGACACTTACACGTTTACAAAGTGGTTGGTTGACAGAGACAAACTGGTTTACACTTTAAAAAAAATTATAATACATAAATAAAATTTACATTTATTGTACAATGTACAACCATGTGGTTTGTAAAAAACAATCTTTAAAGTTTTTTTCAGGTTAGTACACAATATTACACAACTTGGATAACTAGTTATGTCACTGTTTTAAAACGGTAAATGGTACGAAAGTCACTACCACAAGAAGCAATGCTGCAAAAAAAAACAATTATCTTAGTATCTTCGGTGCTACTCCATATGTCTGTAAAAGAAAGAATCAAAAGCTTATACACTGTTCTGTAATTGTGAAAACAATTATACAATATTCCGAAAGACACTGTGGAATAGGACTATTCAAAGAATGAGCAGTGCAACTCAGAATTATGAATTTAATAGCTATGTTTGTATATTTCACAAAGACAAAAATGTTCCACACTTTGAGACTAACATGTTATATCTGACATAAAATATGACATGTACACAGGCAGAAACAAATATTTTACGCATTTCTAACGATAAAGATAAATTAAACATTCGTTGTCACAACACTACAAATCAGTTAGAGACAACAAATTATATAAATGAAATGTAATAAGTTTTTCATTGTTTACACAGATGTTACGTTTACTGTTTCCTTCTAATGTAGTGAAAACCCGATTTTAATGTAGGAAACGAATATGTTACTTTGAATTTTTAAGGTTGTATTCAATTTTCACTATTTCACGTGTTAAATATATGTGTTCCCTTGTGATTTTTGTTTTGTATGAGGTTGGAGTGGGCTTTTAGCCTTACTTTGCCTCTTACATAGGCTATGGACCTGGGCGAGGATCGTATCCAGCATAGCAAGGGGCGAACCGGTAAATCATAAGTATTAAGTGTACATATACAAATATAGTGGTATTGACTAGGATTCGAACCCACGACATTGCGGACCTAGAGTCCATGGCGCTTCCAACTTAAGCCACCCAGTCACCACTACCTTATTCATTTTACTGGGTAAAATGACACACACACGATTCTAAACTGATATTAAAGAATCTGTAAAGTATTACCTGAAGGACATTTTTTTAAATAGCACATTTTTGAAAGACGAAATAAAATTGAGCCGTAAGGCTGACGTTATAAATAAGAGCAATACCAATAAAGTCAATTAATGGACGAGCAGTATCGACGACTTGAGAAAATTCTTAATCGACGTCAATTGTTCAACGCTATCATCTTATCTGCTTCACTTTATTGTTTCCAGTTAAACAGTTTCAGTCTAATTAAAAAGCTCAATTACTAATTTAAAATCTAACTCTTAAATGTACAATTTATTTTATGTCCCACCTTCACATCCTAGGAAGCTAGGTCTAGCCTGGAACTGTTTTCTACATTACTTTAAGCCCTAGAGGATTTTGTGGCATTATTACATAGATAAAGTCCATTGGTGATTGGCGGGATTTGAACCTGGGACCTCGGGCACCTAAGCCCCGACCTCTACCACAAGGCCAGCTCGCTATTCAATACAATACTATTGAACTAACAAATGTACTCATAAACATTTATTGATTTTTCAGAAAAGTAAGGGGATATCTGTTTTTGGTATTTTTAGCCTACACATATTTTAGTCAAGGTTATATTTTTGAATAGAGAGTAAAAATGCCATGTAATTGTTAAGTACACATGTTCAAATATATCATAATATTATGCAAATATTTATTATTTGCATATTGTTTTGTTATCTTATGATTGCATACATTTTTTATTAAGAATCAACAATGTTTCAGTTTGTTGTGGTATTTTTAACGCCAATGTAAGTACATATTAAAGTTGATGACGAAATCGCATGAGACACCCACTTTGTTTTTCTCATCTTGATAAGAACTCCCCTTCTAACTCTTGACCTTTCCTAAGTATTTCTTTATTATGACTATGGGACAAGTTATGAAATTAATTTTAAAACAAACAATTTAGTTTTACTTGTTAGAAAATTACCTTTTTACTTAAATATTCCACTTCAATTCTCATAAACATTTACCTGTGTACTCAAAATAGTCAGTTAATTACCAAAAGAATATTTTGCTCAAATTTTAAGAAAAATATTTTACAAATTAAAATGCATAAGTCCTAACCAAAAAGTTTTTAAGTAAATTAAAAATTTTATATTTTAACCGGTTACGTATAGTAAACTAAGTTTACTGCATTTTTACACAGACTTCGAAAAGTCCCTACGTTTGCACATTTCCTGTAAAAGTTCGAACAACATGTAATCTTATTTAACTTTTGAATATGGACTTTTATTGCAATGCTTACAAGAATAAAATATATGTATATTTTGAAATAATCTTTTTCTTATTTTTAAGTTAAAATGTATGTCATGTTAAAAAACATCATTAATAACATATCAGCTAATATAATATAGCAAGGTAATAACATTCTCATGACTAAAACATATTTCTTCTCAATTAATTTCACAAAGAGTTTTGATTTGTCGACGATTATTGCTAGTTTCAAATTATTAAATGATTGCAAATAAACACTATTTAACAATTAAGTTTTCATTGCCTTATTCACTAAGGCCAAAGAAAATGCCTACAATGCTCAAACCAATTCGGTTTTATTTCATCCCAAATGGATATCCTTAGTAGAAGATTAGACCTCAATTTTTTATCAAACATTCTCTTCTCTCTTCTAAATGGGATCGTCTGTTACTTTCATTTCCATCGTCTTTGAAAATTATATGTGCAGAACAGTTTCATTAGTTAGACTTATAAACAAAGCTGCTTCATAAATTATTACATTTAGTGAATAATTGTTAACATATTTTAATTATATTGCTCAAGGATAAAACAATATTTTGTAGTTTTATTTTAAAGTTTTGTTACAGGCACATATAATTTTGCAATAATTTCATAATTATATGCATTGCATATAATTTCTCTTTTCATTTTGCATTTGCTTTTGGTTAAGTTTATATATATAATTTTCAGGAGCTTTAAAGCGCCAGGTAAATGCATGGCCATGTGTCAAGTTGCAATTTGTAGTGTGTGGGAATTGAACCCGGGCATAAAAAACAGAAGTGCTGCGCAATTGTGAATCAACCAGACAACCTCCAATACCCATACTATTTAAACTTCTCTAAATAACAGAATATTGAGTACAATATTTTCTGATAATTATATTAACACAAAATACTATGTTAATATTTTTAGTAATGAGAGTACGATATTTTCCTGAATTGTATGACCCTAAAAGTAAAGATTATCCTTAAGATAAGGAAACCAAAATTATTTTTAAAAAATCATTACACATATTGACCACACATGTGCATTTTTCCGGATATCGGAAACCATAAAAAACATTGTGTAGTGATATTTACTCATTTTAGGAAAATACCAAAAAGTATTTATTAGTTGCGTGATATATTTATTTTTGACATTAGGAGAAACTAAAAATTGTATTCCTCAAGCGTCTTGTTTTATAAAACCTTTGTGCACTGTCTGTTTTCAAGCGTAGGTAGTAATTTTTTACATAATTTTCCTGATTGTTAATTATTTCAAGTAAATAATACTAATGTTTATTTATGAAATGCCGTTTTAAGGCCCCGGAGGCGCTTGAAATGTTTTGGGAATAAACGGTTTCAGAAATGTTGATCTAAAATTCCGTTCTGAGCGAAATGAAATGCACTTTGGGGATTAAAATGTATTTTTAATAAAGGAAATATTTATGAGATCGTTGTTAAGGCCCGTGGGATATTATTAAACTATTTTCGAAACCCTGTTCAAGAAGGATTCAAGAAGTGTAAAATTCCTGTTTATAATTAATGTTTTCCTCTTAGCCTGCAAACTTTACTATTTTACAAATTTAAATGTACTATTTTTACAAAAAAATTATTTTCTATTGTTAAGATAACAACTTAAATGTAACAAAACTCTACAAATATACTGATTTGTGTAAAATTAAAATAAATCGGATTGAAAAGATACACTTTCGTTTATAATTTTTATCAGAAATACCATTATATCAATAATAAAACATAAAAATTCACAACTAAAAACATATGGTTTAGTATTATACAAAAATATTTCAAAGACAAGTAAAACATTTTAAAAAGTATATAGTTAATATAAATTAATACGATTGAGATGTGTTTTATAGAAAAAAAGCATAATTTAATAAAACTGTTAAATTCAATTTTGAATAGATCAAATTCTTATCTGCGTTTAAATAATACTTGAAAATAAACAATGATGTGTTATAAAGGATAAGAATAACCAATTACTCACTTAGGCCTTAAAAAATCCAACCAACTCCTAAACAATCAGAAAATATGTTAAATAAACATGCTGCTGACAATTTGACATATTCTTAGTTTCGCTCGTAAACAAATTAAAGTTTATAATATTTAGTATCATGGCTTACCTTTAAGTGTGTAAGTACATGCAACCTGAAAAAAAAACAAAATATATAGAATAGTTAAAATACATATATTTAACTAAAATGTAACCTAACTAACACTGAAAAATCTTAAATTGCAATTGCTGTGAGAAGTGATTACTGAATATAAAATTTTGATACCATTCGTTTAACAAATACTTTCCACAATGTTTTTGAATGATGAATATTGTTGATGTTCAGATATTAAGAAGGAAACCATCAAACTTCGGCTCAAGGCCTGAGAATTCCCAATGAAGATTGATGAAGGCGTCATTTAAAGGAGAAATACAGAAAATACTATTTAGAGGAAACGAATTTCGTTTCAAAATACATTACGATGTATTGTGATATATTACTGCATTGTAAATATACGTACTTAAAAACAATACTGCTAAGAAAGAGTCTTTTGTTTTTGGTTTATTAGGAAACTGATCGAGTTTACTAGTATTATGAATAATATCGTAGTTTTTTATTTGAATTAGCAAATGTGTAATTTTTTTATCTTGCTGTATCTGTTAAAATTACAATCGATACGTATTTTTTTTACATTTTTATGTCCTACATTACATCCAAGAATACTAGGCTCTAGACAGAAGCCCTTTAAAATATTACTTCAAGCTTGGCTTAAAGGTTCTAGAATTATTTCTTTGCCATTAGGGATTGGAAGGATTTGAACCTAAGCCCTCTAGGACCGAAGTCCCGTACACTATCCCTATACCAGCTCTATATATTCAAAAGAAACTTTCCTAAACATAAACATAACCAAATCTTAAACTTGTCTTTTTTTCCATGTGTGTATTCTCTTTTGGGTAAGTATAATATCAACTCTAGCCTCAAGTAAATTTATCGAGTTTTAACAATGCTAGTGTATGAAAATAGTGACTAAGTTATCGTAGGGTTGCCAAAGCTAGAATATCTTGAAGTCGGGGAAGGTCAAAGCCTCAAATTACGAGGCCATTACTGCAATTTGGGCATCACTCACCTTCAGCCCTGACCCATCGATAATGCAGCTTATTCACATTTACTGCACCAGCTTCTAGTTTTTAGTTTCGTTACCTTTTCCTAAACAGGTCGTTGATAACTCTTTTAATTTTGCATTTGCTTTAAGTGTAAAGATAAACTTTAACTCTTGTAAGTGTTATTACGTAAAGGTGAATCCTAAACTTTGTTATATTTAATTTTTAAGTCCGTCACGATAACATCTGATCCATCTTGGGGAGCGAGCTGGTCTAGTAATAGAGCACGGGACTTTTGTCTCTGAGTTTCTGGGTTCAAATCAGGCCAAAACACTGCAAATTTAATCCAAGTTATATTGTTGCAACCACTACGTCTAGCACAAAGTATATTGAATAACTATCCCGGGTAGTGTAAAGCATCCTAGGAGAAACATTTGATGTACCACCAACTTACCATGGATTTCTTTCCTAACAGACAAAAAATATAAGAACATTTTCTTTTGAGGTCGTAGGTAATACAAAGGGTTTTTGTGGTAATCCCTACGTCTAGGACTAGTGTGAATTTAGTACCAGGGAAGCTAGAAGACTGAACATAATATTCATTCTACCTCTGTTTTCAAATGAGTTTTTAAGAAGAGTGTCCATAAATTGTACATAATTTTGTCCATAACCCATTCTCACGCGTATATATTAAGGTTCTGGACGATATTCCCCCACCCCAAAACATCCAGGTTTTTAAATAGCCTTCGGTGAATGTTTAATAATAATTTGGAAAGGTTATATTTAGCTTATCTGATTGTTAATATAAATGCCCATTTAATCATTTTTACGGTATCAAACTCTTAGACCGGATTGTAGTTGTTAGCCTCCGGATTGCCAAATAATATTAAAAAAGGTTCGAATACCTGCTATTAAGCAATCCAAATTTGTTGTTAGAACAACTAGTTTCGGTGTCTGTGTGACCCCATCATCAGGCTGCACAAGGACAGTTTTCTTTCTTCATACGAAGAGCGTCATATTTACACGAAAATAAATAAACATTTACAGACGACACAAACACGAACACGAGACATTTATGGTAACTGATCAGTTAAGAAACAGACGACGCTAACCCGGCGGAGTTTGAGTCCAGACAATTAGTTGTTCTAACAACAAATTTGGATTGCTTAATAGCAGGTATTTGAACCTTTTTTAATCTTAGACTGAGTTAGACAATTTTCTCAACCAAAGCTCAGTAACAAAGTATTTTTGCCTTTAAATAAAGAGAAAATACCCATAATACATATTAGAAAAGAACATTTTCCTTGAGGCATTGAACATTAAATATTTAACACCGAATTCTTTTATTCACCATATTTTACTAAACGTCCAACGATAATTCTCTTGGAAAGTTTTACTACTTGAAAAAATAAAACAAGAGGGAAGAGAGCTAAAATTAAACATTCTTAAAAATACTGGAGCGCTCGGAGAGATGAAGACATCATACAAAATGAAACATTTTATGAACGTCGTGGAGAGCTGTTTTCCTTTCATTTCTTGCTGAACAGTGGTTCTTAGCCAGGATTAAACTCCTATTTCAAGAGAATCTCCCCATTGAATATCTAAATGCAAATTCCCCTTTCTAATGAATTTCCGAGTTTCTACTTTTACCTTAATTGAAATGAATGTGTAAGTAGGTGGAATTTGTGTAACGTTAAAGTTTTTCTCTTAAAATTAAGATTAGATTTACGAGTGTTTCATGTATTATCCACATTGAATACTTAATACATTACTTAAATGATACTAAATTGAAACAATTATTAAAATAAACACTTAAAAACCCAATAAATGTTAAATGATGTGTTATTTTATTTGCATTCGTAATACATTTGAATAACGTTAAACACAATTTAAAATGATAACGATGACTATTGTTAGTTATTTTAAAACCTTGTAAATACTGCAAATAAGCTCTTTGTAATGTATACATGACTAGTCAAAAATCTTTGGCAATTTATATCAGAACAAATAAACAGGTAAAAAAGGTTTAAGTTTTTAACCGAGGATTTTCTACAATTTTTTTTTATGTTTGCAGTTATAGTTTCATTTATTACACATTATTTATTTATTGGTAAAATTAAATGGTTTATACCACTCCAACAAATGTTAAGAAAAAGGCCACATTGATAAGGGCTGTATTTATTTACTTAAGTACCTATTCAGTGTCTAATGAATTTTTTTGTCTAAGCTGTGTGTTAAATATTTTAGTAAAAAATTAACTAAAATGTAAAATATATAAAATATTGTTTTTATGTAAAAATATTTTTAAATCATTTAATTCCTTCTAAAACTCTATTTGATCCTCACCATTTAAAAATTTAATTAACTTTTTTATTTTTTTTTGTCTATTTTTTTAGTTTTTAAAATTTTTTTATTTTTTTTTTTATTAGATATTCCTCCTTGTTCTCATCAATATGAGTGTTAACCCTATATGATGATGTAAAAAAGAAAAAAATAAATACTTTAATTAACAATTGAAAATGTATAATTTTTTTATCACACAAAATAGTATTTTCAAATAACGTTTTCACTACAAAAACTCGTTTCACATTGATAATCCCCTTCAAAAAACGCGACCAGTTACAGCAAAACAACAAAGTCGACTCCACTGAAGCCCAATGATCAAACGTTCGAAGGCCACTGACAGTTGTTTTCCAATGTTGTATTACATTCAGCAATACATCGCGTGCTCCAGCTGGAAATGGAAATGCTAACCTGGATCCGACTGATATTTATTTCATCCAATTTATATTCATCAATTCAATTTTGAAATATTTTGCGTTTCTGAAACAAAAAAACATGTTAACACGAGGAGCATTGTTTTGTTGTGTTTGGTTGTTGAAGCGAGAATTTCTGGTATTGAAATTTTGGGTTGAGATGTATTTAAATTGAAAAATTAAATTTGTATAAGTTAGATGGCAGTAGCATTGGATTTTCTTTTATAGAGTTACAAATTATTTTTAACTTGCATTTGTTAGTCATACTTGCGTTATAGTGCTACAGAACTCGAGGTTGGCAAATACGTATAAAAAACTTTTTAACTGGTACCATTGCAGCAAGAACCCTAGACGTCGCTGAATTGGATTACACTTTATCGTGATACCGTCTAAGCCACAGACTTTAATTATTTTTTAACTAAAGTAAAAACAGATTCCTGAATCTTGTAAGAGGCTAATTACAAAACATATGTAGTTTTAGTTTTGGACTGTAAAACGATTGGAGGGTATTTACGTATCGTTCGACTTTTGCACTCATTAAACCAAAGCGATAACATTATTCATTGTAAAAATAGATTGAGCGTCTACGAACATAAATATTTTAAATACAAATTTCAGTCAAGTGTATACGTGTAGGTGATGTATATAAGTGGGAAGATAGGTGTTGGTGAGGGGAAGAGGGGTGAGGTTTACAGCTTCCATGTATCACAATTAAGTTCTAGTTGCTGCAATTGAAGCACTTGTCCAACAATAGTACCTCGACTGACATTCCCTGCGCCTCTATCATGAATTGATTAGACAATAAGGGATATACAACATTCTCTATCTCGCACTCAGTATTACACAGGGTGTTCTGTAAGTACCAAAAATTTAGGAATTATTTTTGTTGAGGAAGAATAATTGTCTCCATTGTATTGAAATTGTAGTAGTTTTTTGTGTAAATTTCAATAAGATTAGACGAATTCCATAATTTCATGGTTTAAGTAGGCCTACTTTGGGGTTAGTATGATGATTTGAGTTTTAAATTATACTTCACTAAACTGTAGTTTGAATTCATTCTCACAACAGTGTAAATAATTACTAACATTTTACTTTGGCACTAATTACCCAAAAGTAGGTGTTATAACGTTTTGGTCCGTGTTCAATTGTTATTGTTTGACAAAAAAAAACTTAAATTTACAACTTATATCATAGCCTTAATACTCCCTATGAGAGTTGAAATCGGTAGCTTACAGACTACGAGAATCATTTCGGCAGTAAAGGGATATTAATCACTATTATATTCATGACAAGCAATA